AATCTGGAGTTGGATGAAATAACGTTTATTTCTAGATTCTCTTATTAAAGATAAGTACTTGGTATCAATGGATTTGATACTGAGGTGACGATGGACACAGCTGTCACTCCTGACATTATGCTGTTCCATCTATTTTGTCAATTCGAGAACTGCTTACGTTATAAAAATGATCAGAATTAACAAAGAGTGCGTGTTGCTTGCGCAAATAAGCTAGCAATTCCTCTTGACAAGGCTCAAACAGATTGCCATGTGGTAGTTTGTTTGCAGATAGGGCATGAATGCGCTCCGACATCTCTCGTCTGATATTATCGGGAAGGAATGTACAGGTGCCACTGCGCATGCTGCAATAAAACATAATTACATATGTGAAGTATTAACGCATTCTCGCAAGATGCGCAAGAACAAAAAGGAATTCATGAATCAAACTATTACGGCGAGCCACATGCCACGACGGTGATGTGCTGCGTGAATTTCAACTGAAATATTGCTTAAAAATTATTTTTAAAAAACCTTATATATTTGCGATGTATCTTGCATGCTATTTCGGCGCATTTTGAATCATTCCGTTCTATCAAATTCCTGTAAATAAAAAAATTTCCCCATCGAATACCGTTTTCTTAAAAAAGAATGAAAGAACTGCACTGCAAAACTGTTCCATTGCTGACGACGGTGCTGAACAATTAAAGCAAATTTTATATCGTCTGAATACTTATACAAATTTATTTGATTGCTCAAAAACAAAGTGCTTTCTCTTTGTCCACGAAAAATTAAAAAATTAGAATACGAAATTATGCATAGTTTTTTGAAGCTGAAATTTATGTATCGGAATTTCGTCGTAGCAAAGATCTCTTTTCAAAACTGAAAGCAATTTTATAAAAAAAATGCCATGTTTTTCCATAGCATATTTTTTTGAATGTTTAGAAAATGTAAAGAAGGCAGAAAACGTTATTGTCATTTGCTGTTTGGACGTCAACGTTTCTTTTCTTCAATAGATATTTAAATTAAAAATTGAAATTTTAATTAAATTGAAACTTTAAAATTCTCATGTCTAGGAAGTTTTATTTTAGAAAACTAGTATGGCAGAAGTAAGAAAATTCAAACTGCCAACAATTTATCAACAGAACACAATATGATTGACCATACTTTATCCAGTACAGTTACTCCAATTGTCTTCTGCATGCAGTTGTATCGTCACGAGACGATATGTTTACCAAATCAGCAAATGAAAAAACAGAGAATTTTGAGGAATTTACATAAGAAACTTTTTTTGAGCCCTGTCATTGGTTTTTTCATCCCAATGAAACTTCCAAATTGCAATTTAATCATCCACAACTTTGTGTATTAAAATCAACAAATATACAAATAAATAAATAATTGCGTATATTAAAAACATTAATATACTTGAAGGCTTTGATAGCAAAGAACAAGTCGATGGAATCAGTTGGTCTTGTGCCATCTTCCTTGAACCATTTCTTGAAAGCTTCTAAAGCAGAAGCATCTTCGAGAATGCTCTCCAAATTGCTCCACCAAATTATACACTCATCCATGAAATCTATAAAAGGACTCCGTTGTTCTCGTTCGTTCACTAGGAATGGCGTAGATTACGAGATCAATGTTTAGTGAAATGATGATGAAGATGGCGTCTAATTCTACATATCCAAATATTATCATCACAATCATTCATAATTCGTTGCAGTTGAAGTATGTTAATTTCAAATTACACAGTTTAGAATAAGCCAAGCTTGAATGTATTTTCTATTATTCATTTTAGATAGAGGCCACTCACTGTTCATTCAATGTCAAAGAAATTAGGAATTTATGAATCCATGAAATTTAAAAAGGGCTCAAATTCAAGAAATTCAAAATAGCAAATGAGCACAAAAAACCTGAAGCAATCATGAAGAAAGAGATAAGCATGCGCCAGAAATTTAGAACCACAAAAGAAATGGGACCAAACACAGAAAGTTGAAGTTTCTGCCCAAAACTGACCGGGGCAGCTCGATAAAAATACCAAAAGAGAAGCGAGTCTGTTGTGAACATTTCAAGTGAAAGACTGCTCAGTGCAATCTTTTATTTGTAATTCTTCATTTCGTTGCGAGAGTGATCAGAGGGATGAGAAACATTAATGAGAAGCACCGAAACGAGTTCTTCCACATCCACATGAAATCGACCGGTCATTTGGAGGGGATGGATGGATGGATAGATGGAGAGACGGACGGATGGATGAATGATAATTTGTAGGCTGGGCTAGTTGGATGAATGGATGGCTGTATGGGGTATATAGCAGAAGGGCGATGAAACTTCGACAGCTTATTTTAAAAAATGGAAGTAAATTAACGAAGGTGAGAAAGATGGAAAGAGTGTCATGTCTGAAGACATCCATTCCAACTTGGGAAATATTTGATTCCGTCCAGCGTATCCTCATCCTGTTGGAAATTTCAGGCTATTTAGTGGAGAGAAGAGATGAAGGGAAATTAGTCATGGAAGAGAAATTTTGAGTATCCCGCGGGAATTTCCCGGAGGAAACAAAGCAGGTGGCGCTACAAATCATTTTTAAAAAAAGGCTGCCTTAATGGTTAAAGAAAAGGAAACTTATTGCTAAACAAATGAAATTATTGTGTGACAATTTCGAACAACCGAAATTCAGCCAGTAGGAAACAGATCGCGCAAGTGAACTTTATCGTCAAATGAGTAAGTAAGTCAAATTAGCCAATAGCAAATACCGTGTAACAAGAATTCAGCCCGCAATTCCACTTCATTTTATAAATTTATGGACGAACACAGGTTAATCACGGAGGAACATATTTGAAATGATTATATTCAAGCCGAGGGAGAAAGAGCCTTGGGCACGGATAAAATGTGAGGTGAGCAGATTGAAGGCACAAAGGGACGTTTGTTGTTCAATTAGAACCATCTGAAACCCATAATTAAGCAGAAGAGACATTTTAATACCGTCGTTTCCGTTCGTAATTGAACATCCAACTGCTTAGGATGGCAGTTAGTGAAAGAGAACTGCCGAACAGCTGACAGTTCCAGAAAACATTCACATTTCAGGATGTTCTGATGATCATCCTAATTAAATGACGAAGAGCAGTAAGGTAAAATGGCGGAACTCCCTGCTTATTGACCCTCGTAAGCGTGATCAACAACGATATAGGTAAGTAAATATGCGCCAACGTCCATATATAAACAATGTAGACAAACACAAACATCACACACATTGATGAGAAGGAATGAAATTGGAAAACAAGGGGATGGAGGAGGAGAGGATAGAAGTACTGTTGTAAGGTTGGTTAGACTGATGGCGATGACGACAGTGGCGCGGCACTCTTTGAAGTTTAAGGCAGCATTTTGTGGATTATTAGAGGTGCGGCGGCGGGTGACATCAAAAGAGTTCTGTTCCCTTCTCTTGAACCTCTATTGAACATATTTCTCATTTTGATCAGCAACAATTCAACGCCCATCCATCCACCTCTCTCTCCCCTTTCCTTTCCTTCCTTTCCTTTTTCCATTTCTCCCTCTGTCTCTCTCTCCTTCTCTCTACCGAAATCTGAAAGCCTTAACTGTTAAGTGAACTAGTAGGAGCAGTGCGGTGGTACTAGCAGGTAGTAATCATCCCCTCCCACCTCCCGAGCACACCACCACTTAGCTCCAGGAATGGCCGCCACTCCGCTGGCGCTTTACTTTCCAAGCAACGAAGAGCGGTCTCTCCCCTCTCATCCCGCATGTCTTCTATCGGATAACATCCTCCGCCCTTTTTCCTCCCAGCACACTTTCTGCTATTATTGCTGCCTAATTCATTCAAATCCATCTTATCGCATACGGCAACAGAGGGGACTGTTATCAGCCAAGGGCGGAACGGAACGACATGGGATGGATGAAGAGAGGGAGGGGACCATGAGGGAATTGTCAAAAACCGTTTTGTGAAGGGGAGATTAGATTACAAGAAGTCCCTCCACTGCAGGCAAATGGAAAGAGATCTCTGACCGATGTAGTCGAGACTTTTTTCGGCACATACTTCGTGCGGTGATGTCACCCACGATTTCTCGAGAAATCCGCCGACCTTTTTCCCTCAAGTTATTATAGTACTAAATAAAAGAGATCGATAATTGCAGTTGGCAGAGCTAACAGTGAGTGTGACACTTTAGGCTCGCTTCTCTTCTTCTTCACATAATTGAGCCACAAAATATCCAACTAATCGATCTTCCAGCTGTCAAATAAAAGAGTCACTTCCTAAAATGGTCTAAGGCCATATAGGTAAGTGTTCGTGTAAAGAGTCCATGTGGGATGAAATGAAGACTGTTTAGTTGCAATAAATAAATTGTTTTTGAGGTGGCCGGTTAACTAATTAGCAACTTTCTTACTATTCCGTGCACTTTTTTAATGGGCAAAGAACAAAAACTTTTTTAACGAACATTGATACGCAAAGGCACGTATTTCTGATCAAAGTTGTGGGATGGGAACACTCTTCTGAATTGGAAGAAACTGTCGACTATACTTGCTCCTTCGATACTTCTCAGCCTGCGCTATGTTTCGATGCGACCATTTCCGGAGACCCATCCGCAGATCCTTTTCCTCTCTCGCAATTGAAACTTTGGAAGAAATGCGAAGAAGCAATCCATCCAAATATTATAAACTGCTATTTCCGATTGTCATTAATAGAAATTTTACACGAATCGTCTATTGAATGTAATTGATAAACTTAACAGTTGCAGAAGCCGAGCAAACTCGGTTCCATACACGGGTCCAAATTCCGGTATTGAGACATTTCGCGTGCTCCTTTTCCCCGTAGAACCGATGGTGAAGAATCAAAAAAGTCAAATCAAACTGAACACTTATTGTGAGAAACAGACTTTGAACCATTAAAATGAGACAGCAGATGACATGGTCGAAGAGTTCCTTCGTGCGGAGTTGACCTGCGTGTGATCCAATGTATGTGAACTCACTCATCAACTGACCCACTCAATTGAGCTGCTCTTTCCGCTTCCTTGAGGGAGTTGCTACTGTTCTTCATCTTCATCTTCATCTTCTGGAAGGGATGTGGACCCACCACGACTGAGAGTGGTTGCAAGAGGCTGATAGTAATCAGCGAAGACGAAAATCAGTCTGCTGAAGATCGATTCCTCCAAGCTGTGGAGGGAGAGGAAAGAGGAGGGTGGATGAGAAGGAATGCTTGATGGAGTGTCACTCCTTTCCCTTGCACCCGTCTGCTCGATCCTTCCGGGAAACTAAGTTCAGCTCCTTCCCTCTGCCCATCTACTGGTCATCTCTTTCCAATGTAATAATGGTCTCGAGAAGAGAGAGAGAGAGAGAAAGGACAGAAGCTAAAAGCTAAAGTTAACAATTCGAGAGCACAGTTTATATTCTCATCTTTCATTCAGAGGTATAGCAAGCAACCTAATATGCATCATCATTTATGTATTTCTTTTCTTGCCGTTCAGACTGCGTCATCGACATTCCAGTATTCACCAAGAGAGATGGTGCTTCGTGCGTACCGACATAGCAGTCTGAATTCCTAGCAGAAGCACAGGTAATGAAGGAGCGCCATCATCGCCCCAGACCCTCTACTGCAAACATCCATTGATTTTTCTTCACTCACTCGGCACTTTTATCTTTTTATCCATGTTGAAGCATAAAAAACACAATTGAATTTTCATTAATTTTACTTCAATTTCCTGGAGGAAGGATGAAAAGACCGCAGAAATTCCCATAAGCCAATATAATGTTGAAGTGCAGAACTGGGATCAAGCCAGTTCCCGTCATAAATTGGAGCTCGGAAACTCTCGACCAGTTCAACGGTTGGCATCTCGTATCGTTAGTCCTGCCATCACCCAAAGCGGAGTTGTTCCGATCAATAGAAGCATAGAAGTGAGAGAAATAGATTGAGTTGGAGTGGCAAATGCCAGTAAACATCAGCCGGAATTATTTCACCGATAGATATAACAATATCCGGAAGGGAATAATCCTTTTGCCCCTACTCATTACTCCCTTCCGTTTAACGTATAACCGTGACCGTCACTTCAGTTCACTCAATGGCATCAGTGTGTAGCCGTACTGCTAAATAATGAAGTGCTCTGAGAAAAAGGTGGGAGAAACCTAAAGATAGTTCAAAGATATTTAAATTTGTGTGGGTAATGACTACGAACAGCTTTCATCATGAAGGGAAGAACAGTAATCTTTGATGGATTACGCACTTCACAACAGGATGCGCCTGACAAAGAGCTGATAAATGATCATTATCGGCACACTTCAAAGAGGACCAAAAGGAAGGGGAGGAAAGGGTGTAATTAGAGAAGAATGTTCTGCTGTCGGCCTGCTAATTTGCGGCGTACCCTTTCGTCTGTAGAGTAGCTTAACATGTATGCATAATCGCAATCAGTTAAATGAATAAGTAAGTGTGGAGCTGAACTGGAAGGAAAATCCGTCCCTCTGTCCCAAACAATCGATTGCCGTGAATGGCATGAGGATGTTTTGCTCTTCCAAAAAATTATTAAACATTTCAGTTTTTGTCATCATTTTAGACTGTTAGCTTAATTTCTGCTCCATGCTCCATAAACATTTAGTTTGTTGGCACAACAACACAATACAAGTGTTGCTGCGTGATCCAAACAACTTTACTATAATTGTAATGAGCAGGATTTTCTAATATAGTCATACAGTTCTACTTGAGAAATGAGATCTCAACTCACACCTACATCGTCTCGTAGAGACGAGATGGTGGTTACCCAATCGCCTTTTTTGGCTCCTCCCTTATTCTACTTTTAATTCGTAAAATACAAAATATTCTCGCTGATATCCAGTTTAGGTAGGAACTAGTTCACGAGATAAAATCCTAATTTGAAATATAGTAATGCTCAGCTCTAACTTTTTCACTTGCAGTACGTTTGAAGAAAATTAAACAAAATTTATTTTACGGACAAGAAAATGAAATAGATACACGAAAAATAATTTCCATTGGCAAAAACACGAAAACTGCCAAAGAATATGAAGAAATATAATGAACTGTATGCTATCAGTTCTATTATTCAGTACGATTAGTATAGCAAAATCCTACTATACTATTTAAAACTAGATACTGAACATTGAAATTTCATAAAAATTTTTTGTTACACAAACTCTACGTAAAAAATACTTGTAAAGTTTCCTTTTTCTTTCTGTTTTCCCGGCAAGACAATATACAACATTTCAAAAATTGAAAAAATGAAAAAAAAAACTTCACCGGATTATTTTCTTGCGAAGTGATTTATTGTGTGGCTACTCTATCGCTTAATCTTCTTAACCAAGCTCCCTGAAATATTCCAGCATATGGAGGATACTTTCGACGGCCTAAAGCTGAAATTCCATGAAACTCTCTTTCGCGCCACGGAAGGATAGCTATGATATAAAAGGATATTGAGGCAGATAGAAGTAAATTGGAGGTTTGATAACGAAACTTACTCGGAAGAGATGGTTACATTGGTGTACATACGAAGCATATATTCACCTTCTTCACCAGGTTCAAAAGTTGATGGGACTACGATGTAATTGCCGGGTTGAAGGCGGAAACGGCCAGTTACCTGTAATTATCTGTTACCTGCAATCCGTGACTTAATTGTTATTAGTTTCAAATTATGTTTTCATTAAAATACTAAAATGAAAGAGATCTTCTTAATTAAATTATAGTTTACTCTATAAAATTCAACATTCAAATAATAGAAATGGCAAAGATCGAGTCATATCAAAATGTGGAAGCTTCATACATTTCAAAAGGTATTTTTCCAGATACCTAGAATGAAGACCCTTTAATCTGAATTATCAACGTCATAGACGAGATGAAACAGTTTGAGAATTGGTGTAATTAGCTTTTTCGATATAATCTGAACACAATCTCTTAAACTGTATAGGATTAATTCGGACCTAGAAATTTCAATTGGTAAGCAAAACAATACCTCACGAAGATTGATAAATGCAGCACTTCTCGCACATGACTTATGTGATGCAAAAAAGTTGCGATCCAAATGACCGTAAATTTCACTGACCTTGAAATTTTAAAATCTAATTATTTGCAAAAAATGCGAGCAAACGAAGATGTTATATCAATTTGAAATTACCTTATAAATCGCAAAGCCAATAGCAAGATTGTCTAATCCTTGTGGTTTCATTTCACGACGATTTTTTTGCAACACGGCAACGATTATTGTACAAAGACCATCTTCATCTTCAGGATTTGGATTAGATAAAGTCATGGCGAACTGGGAATTGTTGGCAAAGGTATCTGAAGAGGAAGTTATAACATTGAAATTATATGAAAATATTGAAATTAGTAGATGTTCATGAATGGACATTCAGAGTTCTTGACTACTCCTGGTGGCTTGATCTAAATCATTTATGAATTTAAATTTCACAACAGGAGGCTACTGGACGCTTGTTTTTTATCAGACTTTTGATCCTTAGCGTAATACTATTGTTGAAGCTCTTGCAAAGAGAAGTTGGACATCATTATCCTATGCCACATAATTCCTTTTACGAAATATTTAATATTTCTCTTTTAGAAATTCTTGTCACCATTTTCTCAGAATCAGTAAGTGGTTATAGGTAAATTAGATACTTTTGCGACAATGGAGTGGATACTCAACAAACATGATGTCTAGATAAATGAAAAGATATAATTACCACCAAAAATCCTTTTCATCATCTTTCCTCTTTCTGTTTGTGTTAATAACTACTACCACGTTTCACTGCATGCTTCCGTGTGCATATAATCACTTAGTCATACTCCGGAAATAAAAAAAATTGTTGCGAAAAATTTCTATAAATTTCTATAATTATACTTCAATATCCTTAATGTTATATGTAACGATTAACTAATATTTATACCTAAATAATTTCGGCAACCACCAGCCGTATCGCCGATCCATGCGCCGAGATGGCAACGAGTATTCCAATGTCGAAAACCAACATCTTCCATCGATATACCAGTCATCTCTCGTACTTCATCCATAACATCTGGTCCCAAATTGCAAATTTCCATTTTATTAAAATATCGCATGAAGTCATCAAATGACATCCTATAAAAACAAGTTTTTGCTAGATAAGCCAATGAACAAACTGAAATAAAGTCTTAGTGTAATGTTTTGAATCCAATACTAATAAACCGAGTAATCAAATAGTAAATGCATAATTTACTTATGTATAAGTCATCATAGCATAACATACTACTAAATTATTACCGAGTTATATAGAACAAAAAACGTCGTGACCTTCAAAACTAATTGTAAATTAAACAAACCAAAATTCGCCATCATGTGCCAAGACAAGATTCATATCTTTCTTCTGCTGATCGGAAACATAATCCCATAATTCACTACTATCTGACCAATCACCGTTCCATTCTTGTTCATTACCCCACGGATTACGGATTCTCAGTAGCGGAATTTTGCCTTGTGCCGTTTCAATCTAAAACATACAAATTTCTGAACAATGAAAGATTTCCAAATGTTCAAAAATTTACCACCTCCAAATAGATGTCTCGCTGTGCATCATATCATACGTACCAACTGGATCATACTGCAAAAAAATAGTGCACCATTTTTAACATGAAATTTGCTGATATACGATAAACTTACCAGCCTCATTCCTGTGATGCTATAGGCATGACCTTTGATTAATCCTTGACGTGTACGTGCCTCAAACTCCATCGGTGAGGCCTAAATAGAAGTGGTAAAAAACACATGACATGAACGAAATACATAAAGCAAACAGTTTCGAATAAATAAATCTTAAAAGAGTCAAGCTAGGAAAAAAAAGCATATTGAATGAAACCACTGCAAACCTCAATACTACATCCAAACAAAGAACCCATTTCAAAGCCTCGAAACATCATTTGCAGTAAATTTGGTGGTGGTTCCTTTAAATCGACAAACTCTGTCAAACCACCAGTCATATCTTCCAATGCTTCCGATGTTGTACCACCTTTTAATACTTCATAATTACCGTATAATCTGTAAGTACCAGTTTTTTAGTCAGATTTAATAAATAAAATCTTGAAACAAATATAACAATTTAAATTTTTCTCATAAAATTACTGATAAATTCAAATGATATTTTCTTTTGCCTATCACTCTCTCTCCCTCTTTCACTCCCTAAAAATTTCGAAACTAACTTGGCATATGCTTTTTCCATCAGGGCACTCCAGAATTCGTTATGTTCACGGGAATGCATGTATAAAAGTTTTCCACCTGATGTTGGCAATCTATCATCAATAACTACATCCACCCAATTACCGTAATGCCAGAATTGGAAGTGAAATATTCCTATAAAATAGGAATTTTGAACTGTTGAAGAGTTTTGAGAAAAAGATGCAGCTCAAGAATTGTTTCCACTATTCTTTTTCTAATCTTTTCTATCACTTAATCGACTATTTCCTACGATACTTTCGATGTTACTGATATGGGATCAAAACTATATCAAGTTCATCTACGACAGTTTACCTAGACTTTTGATTCTGCAGCTCTGCCGGCTTTTCATCATTTTTGCCTAAAGCTTGCCACGTATCCTACTTATTAACATCACTTTAGATTCAGTAATCAAAAATTCAAAATGGAATTCCCCTACATTAAGCTGACTCTCTCATTGCATATCAAAGAGTTCATTTCAGCTCGTAACAAAATCTGCTTTTTTATTTTCCCGTGAAGCCAATGTGATGGACAAAACACTCAACACAAAATAAAAAAGCTTTTATAGCACTATAGTGAAGAATGTAATTTCAAATAAGTCAAAAGAAGAGATTAAATTAGAGAAAAGAGACTGTATAGAGGAATTCATACCGGCATAATTTTCGGTGAAACTCTGGTCCGGTGGGATCACACGATAAAATAACTCATCACGTAGGGTCAAACCTGCGGCACCAGCCATCAACCAGCAATCTCCTAATTCACCTTGAATCACATCAAAGCGAGTTTGTCCTTCCGAAATTAACATTGGTTCATGGACGATTTCCTTCAATGATCTCTTACTCGCTACAATCCTGATCTTAAGTAAAAACTGGAAGAACATTCACTTACTCCTGGACGAAGCCATTCGATGTACTTCGGGGGTCGTCTACTATAAAACAAACTGGAATCATCTGCTGGAAATTCTGGATCCTCGAACAGAATGTTGGACTGCAAACATAAATAATATTAAATAGCATTAAGTACTGGAATAGTGTTTTTGAAAAATTACAGCTTTGCGAGCTAACATTCACTGACTTGCAAACATCGATCACGTTCTTCATAAAAGTCAAGTGCTTGGGCTCTTCGACTTGGTGATGGTGGACGTGGTATTAGACGTGGTTCCCGTGGAATATAAGGATCAACCTGAAGTGGTTAGTCAAGTTACTCGATAAAATTAATGAAGCTAGTACGAAGGGAAGAAATGAAATTCTCCATATAAATCAATCCAAATTACAGTTTAAAAAGATCTGTTCAGGCAAAACGAAAAACTACAGGAACTTAATTTTTTCATTTGGAAAAGAGAAAAAAATAAATATTGGAAAGACGAAAAAAAAATTAACCTTCCGGTGAAATTTTCCCGAAATAATGTTATCCAAGATAATTTTTCCTATATCCGATAATTTGTTATCTTTTCCACCTAGATGAAACAGCACATTACCGGCAATTGCACCAATAATACGACCTGTCTGCGGGTCAACACCAAGGAAGTGATGTGCCGCTTTACCGATCACATCTGACAGCATCTCCATAACACCACCACGTAAAAAATCCATTGGTACATTCTCTCCTAAGAAAATAAGAAAGCAGATTAAAACTTAATTATAAAAAATTAAGTATGAAATGTGGATAATGCGCACATGCCAGAGAAATAGTATAAAGAAATAGTTGGTGCAACATGTTGCAAGAAAGAAATCTTTCAGCACTGCTTCCAATAACGATATACTTGTATAATGAATGACAATGTCCTTTTGCGTATCAGAAAAGGATAGTTTTCGATAATTTCAATACAAGATCCCTTACTTTCATCTGAAAAATTATTTTCCACGAACCATCATAATATCCTTATTTAAGTACCACATTTGTGCTGTCATTATTATGCAAATCCATTTCGTCAGCTAATTAATTTCTTATTCATTCCTTACCATCATTAACCGTAATAAACTTAACCGACAGGCACTATTTATTTCAATAATTTATCACAAACCTCCGCCAACGCCACCTCCAACAAATTGACCAATCAAATTCCCGACATCGAGTCCACCTGAAAAATGTAACATATACTCCAGTATTATAAAAGCATAAAGCTTAAAGTCGTTATTTCATGATTATCTTTCCTTATAAAGAAACCAGATGATACCATTTGTGACAATACCGCTATCACCGAACAAGATTCTTTTTATTTGAGCGTTTGTCCAGACAAATCAATTTTTTTGGTGAACAAGAACCTTCGAAATTATGCTGACAAAAAATCACACTAACAGCTTCAAGATGAATAACTTTAAGTGAGAAAACCGATACCACGATCTACACTGCTTCCACCTCCCCGCAGTAGTCCACCAAGAATTTGTCCAACACCGCCACCAATTTGACTCTCGATGAAATTCCCCGCAAGACCGCCAATTAAACCGCTAAACTCATCGTTACTCACGTGAATTCGCTTTAACTTTTCATCATCTTCAGCCATTTCTCCTCTCGCTCTCTTTGTTCCTTTTCCTTCCTCAACCTATAATACATTAAGCGTAAATGATATTCTTTAATAATACCTTCTCTATCACTTTTTTCCACGTAACGCAATATATTTCATCAATTCATAATGGTCCGATATTGATTTTTCAGCTGGCGAGGTCCTCGCCTTATACGGGAAATAAGTAGAAAAAGAA